TCACATGGAATAGAATCAAGTAGTTTCAAGATGTGCTATTCAATTACTCCTAAAGAAGTACACCTTGAGATTGAAATTCACCTTGAGATCGTCGATGGACAGTGAAAAAAAAACTTTGAAAACCAATTGATCAACAATTCTAGAGGATTTAACTCTGTGCGCATATTTGGATGGTCCACTTATTGCTGGTATGCTGTGTTAACTCTTATGCTAGCTTTTGTACATCTTGTCTGTGTTAACTCTTATGCTAGCTTTTGTACATCTTGTGCACATATTGTATTTGTATACAGGTCTCACACAGCATGGTGATGTTGAGTTTGAATGTGACTGAAGTGTCTGAAACAATTTTTTTCTCTTACCAAAAAAATCACAAATGAAGCATGTGTCGGCTCAAATTACATTAGTGAATCAAAAAATTAAAACAAACCAATACTAAAATAGTCATTTTCATGTCAAAGGTGTCCTTATATTTAGGAAATACAAATTTAAATTACTCAAAATACAAATTTAAATTACTTTAGCCTTTTATAAGTCGTAAGATCAGAGAGTGAAGAAAAAGCGAAAATGAGGATAGGTATTGGAAATCTGGAAGCAATTTAAAGTTAAAGAAAGTACCAGAAGAACACATAAAAACCAAAAAATATAAATAACAACAAAAGATCATGAACTGATTGAATGATACAGAACCTTCAAGACAATGCCGACAGGAAGCAAGAACTCTCTTCCTCCAATCCTAAACAAATTAGCAGGAAATACATATTGTGAGTACAGAAAAACACACCCTTTATCTCAAATACATTATTGTCAGTGTTATTACCAGAAACCAAGTCTTGCGCTTCCATTTTGAAGATAATACAATTTAACTGTCACACCAGACTGATCTTCTCGAACACATCTATAACAACAAGGATAGCAAACTTTAAGAGCGAAAGCATCAAACAGAACGTAAAAAAAACTTCAGATAGAATTTATACAGATCAGAAATTAGAATAATAAGATACAAACAAACCTGGTATAACAAAGAAGTAAGCTCTAAATAGATAAAGAACAGTAAGATACTGCAAGAAAAATATAGATATGACCTCTATGGCCCTCTATCCTAGAGAGAAAAACCAGGATGAGTAACAGAAAGATGTACGTTACTCCAATATTTTCAACTGCACTCCTTGTTCAAATATGTTATCTACCCCTGATCAACTTTATTCATATTTTGCCCTTTGCTTACAGAACTCTTCACTGGTTAATATTTCAGATCTTTCTGCTTGAAGGGGTTCGCACTGATGTCTATTATTTATACATTGCCGTTATTAGTTTCATCATATTATTACTTATCTCATCACTGTTTTCACTTTTATAGAATTAGTGCTATCGCAGTTTCTTACATGCCAATAGCTATGTTTTGATGATATAACTGAAAGCATTTCCGCGGTTCTGTTTTAAATTTCCCATATTGATACTGCCATCAGGACGGTAAAATTGATTCCATGATGACATCAACTATAAACATAAAATTTACAATCATTATGATTATCTATTGTTGTAAACGAGGGTAAAATTGCTAAGGATTAAGGAGTCGTATCATTTACAGGAAGAGGAATGAAAAATCGGTGTATTTCTGACAAAAAGTTGAAGGGTACTCAGAGATAAAAAAAACTAACTAATTAATGAGTGCATAAGTAAACCCCCAATGAATGAATTCAAAAGCAATAACTTTCGTTACATTCACCAATAAGAGCTTCTGTATAAACAAATCTATAAATGATAAGAACATAAGTTTTTGACCATATGGAATAGCAAGGGAACCTCTCTCAAAATAAATAAAAAACCACAACCCAGACTGCTGGTGTGGTGATAGTGGTTTTTTTTTTTTGGGAAAGGTCCATTACATTAAATTTAGTCAAGATCATTAAGAATTACAAAAAATAAAGATTAGTGTGTGGTAGCATCACAAATCAGGATTTTATACTTCCTGCCTGGAATATATACTACTCTTCCTTATAGTTATAGGAGTCCAAATCAACTGGGAAAAAAAAAGTTCCTCAACTTATGCTCAAGTGATGCTACATGCTACTCTTCCACAATGCACAGTCGTCTTTATTCGAGCTTCTCGTATTAACTCTGAATCGCAGATCGATCAAAAAAATAATAAATTCAACCAATCATCTTTCGGATGTGATGTTTCTTGACTTTTCATACACATTTCGATATATCCTAATGTTTCTGGCCAAGAAACCAAGAATGATCTTTATTAGATGCTTACAAAATTAATCTAATGCTCTCTCCAATCATCTCCCAAAGCCTCAACTTTTGCTCACGTTTACTCTCACATACGAGCGAAGGAATGTAATTGCTATAGTGGAACCCCTCTTGTAATAACAAATTACAACCCACCCATTCAATTCCTTGGCTGACATCACCACCAGAAAAATTTTACAGCTCTTTTCCTTTTTAACTAAAGATGAATTTACCCAAAAGGCCAAAACTCACCCAAAAGATCAAACACCACAGCAAGTCATGTTTCCTATTTCAAGCATCCGGCAGATACTTTCCTAGAGCACAAAAGCAAACCAACAAAAAAATATATATTGTTCATGGTCCTCTTGGTTTCATTTTCTTTCCAATGAACCCAAAAGAAAAAAATTAGTCATTAGCGTTGATTGAATTAATACTACGATGTATCCAATACCCCTTACAATTTTTCATATTTCAGGGGGGGCCATGGACCCACTGGACCCTACTTGGCTTCACCCCTGAGTCAGCTTCTTGCATTATTCACTTTAACAACTCTTAAAGTTTTCAACGGTATAGCAACAATATAAGAAGGAATGGATGGTTGCTTTATGGTTCCTATTTAAACAACCTGGTTAATAACCAATCCAATTTAAAAAAAACATAGCAAACAATTGCAAGAGCATTCAAAAACTACCAAGAAAGAATAGCTATAAACAAACTCAGAAGGTATAAAATAGATAATGACCTTAACTAAGATTTTGAACCAAAAAATAAATACAGCACCTCATCACGACTGCCTTATCACTGTATCCATCTCCCCGTGCACGAAATACCTTGCGCACCAGACTCATTGGCTGGATAGGAAATATGATTTAAGGTGAGAAAGGAAAATTATTATAGTAAACCCAAAAAAAGGGAAATAACATTATACAAAGAGATAGGCAAGTTTTTAAAAAAAAAGAAACTAAAGTAAAATTTTAAAAGTAATATAACTAAAGCTGAACTGCAAAAAAGGAATAAGAAAATAATATAACAATTGCTGGTTACTGTAGCAAACTTCAGCTGAAAAACCGGGTTCACTGAGGAAGTATTCTTACATAATTACGTTTTTGCAGAATCAGAAGTCGACAGAGTCTTTCCAACCCATTACAAATGAAGTACCTGGAAGAACAAGGCAGTTAAAAAATCAAATAAAGGTGAGAATGACAAAGTTTGTCTAATAGATAGAACCTAAAGGGTAAACAGCATGTCAAATAGGGAACAGTTATAACATGATCGCAAACAATTTATACTGATAATGATAATTGATCAATATACCATAATGACCCTTTGGCACAGGTAACAAACACAAATTTACAGCTGAGCTATAAATACATCTAAGATAGCATCATCACTCTTAGCTACATATCATCACTCTTAGCTACATCAAGAGTACGAAAAAGGAAGTGCCTGGGTACCCAGGAACTGTATACATTTGTCCCAATATTTTGGATTAGATTTCTCAAACAGATCCAAAAGCTTATTGATCAGGCATCCTAAAAAGGATTGGTTTCCTTGTGGATCCAGAAAGGTATCACTAAGGCTCGGACCCCAATAATCAAAAGAATTTACACCAGTTAGATTTCAGTTGAGACTTATTTATATCAGACTCTTAACTCCTGCTATCCTTAAAATTGTTAGCCTCTCTTCCTTTTCCTTCCGAGTAAAAACCACTTGCAGGACATCTTCCAAATATTAAACTTTTGTCTTCCCTTTTTTGGGAATTTACAACACTACACTAGAGCACCAATTTCAGCAAAATCAAGGAGCAACCAGTTGACAAGGAAAACAACAGTCAACAATGACAAAGACCGACTGATATCTTCCTGTCTCATACCTTCCATTTAACCTTCAAAAGTTTTAGTTTGAAGCAGTTCACACTTCCTGCTACTTGACCGATAGGACTCCTTCAGCTTTTGGGGTTGTAATACTTCAAAGAGGGTTTGGTCAGGAAAGGATAGTTTTGAAATTTTTAGACAATGGGGTACTTTTTGAAATATTACTTTTTTATGTTATTCATTGGGACAATGGAAGTGGGACTTTAACTTTTGGCGTTATTGGTTTTTTAAAACACAAATGGGATAATTATTCTACATGGGATAAAACTGTCACGCTCATATAGAAGAAAATTTGCCCCTAAGCTCAAATTTAGCCCCACTCTTCACATTGGGACAATTTGGGACAAGTGGGGTAAATTTGGTGCATTCATAAATGAAGTAACTAATATATGTGTCAATCATATCAGTATGTAATTAAATAAAATAAAGTAATTACGTAATACATATTAGCTAAATATAAAATTATTAAATAATTAATATTATTAAACATAGATTTCAATATATTAATATTAGTCATACTATTATATTATGATATACTATATTTCAATAAGGTTTTTACATGAAAACCACCTCAATTTTAGTCCAAATTGATACTTACAACCTTTATTTTATTTTGTTTCTTTCTTGTAAACCGCCTATATTTGCTTACATCTTCTCAATGTCACACAAAACGCAGAATCTTGTTCAAAAAACATGTGAACTACCATTATTATACCCTCATCTTAAACACATGAATTGCACTTGTTTCTTAATTAATTATAAAATTAAGCATTTTTTAGATATTAGTCCTCCAAATCTTTCATATTTTGAAATTAGACCCTCAAATCCCCCCTTTTCTCTCTCTCAAATGGCCATGGATTTCCAAACTCAAATCTCCAAACCCTAGCTCAATCCCCAAACCCTAATCTTACCTCCCTCAATCTTCCCTCCCTTCCTTCCAGCCTCCAATCCATTAAAAAAAACCTCCCTCAGTCCTCCCCCAAAACCCTAGCTGAGAAGCAAGAGATCTATGAGCTCATCCTCCCTATAACCCTATTCGGTGAGGACGACGCCAATTTAGGGGACTAATTTCAAAATATGATAGATTTTTTGAGCTAATATCAAATATGAAATATTTGGGGGACTAATATCGAAAAACCCCTTATTTTTTGTAATTAATTGGGGATAAAAATGCTTTGCACGTGCTTGGGAATGGATATTTTTTGGAATTTCACGCCTTTTTGAGCTGAAAAGTTGATTAGGTGTGACATTGTGACGATGCAAGTAAATATAGGTTGTTGACACCCAAAAAAATATAAATATGGTAAGTATCAAAATTAAGGCGATAAGTATCAATTTGGACCAAAATTAAGGTGGTTTTATGTAAAAACTCATTTTAATATAATACATTTTATTTTATTTATTTAGGCTGCATTACCAAATTGGTGTTCTTACTAACCCCTCACAATCGGTTTGGTATCAGAGGTTTGTCCAACAACTTTTGGTATTAAAAGTACACCAATGTGCAATTAGACATGTTTTGTGCCATCGGCAAAATAAATTGACGGGAAATTTGCATGTGCCCTGACATGACTTAATTTCAGGGTTATTCGAACGATGGCATAGCTTTGTTTAATTGACGTGGCTAGATTTAGATGACATGGCACAGATAAAAGTGTAAATTACCCACATCATAGATAACGACCTAATTCAACAGCATTATTAATTAGAAATCACGTAGACCCCACTTGAATCAACAGCCCTAATGCTATATATATTTACCAGTTTACCCCAAGGTGGAGTCAGTGACGATGTCTTAGTGTTAGTGGGATTAGCTAAAACATCAAACACCAAAGATTGTACATGATAACTTTCATGTCGACATGTGTAAACCTATGGGATGTGGTCTCTTGTTCATTCATTGAAATTGCTGATGTAAGGAGAAGGTTGAGTAGCTGATTTGATGACGGGTGTAGATGGAAGACAACATTCTGACTACTAAGGACATATTTGGAGATTTCTTTTTTCTCTTTTTTTTTTGATGCAGGTGTTGCCTTCTAACCTATCCTTTTTTTCCTTAATTCTTAAAAAAAGACGCAAATATTATTAGAGGATGACAGTTGTGTCTGAGTTGGCAAACAACGTTCTGACCAGTGACCACTGGCAACACATACGCGTAACTGATTCCATAATTTTGTTTTTTGTTTCTTTTCGTTTCTTTTCTTTTAAGTTTTGTCTTTAAACCTATCCCTTCTCCTTAATTTTTTGAATAAAAGACCCAAATACTATTAATGGTTCTCATGCTCCAGGTAAAAGGCAAGGGGGCAATTTCATAAATACCTCTCTGCAGTGTTTTTTATTTTATGGATCCCTCTCTGCAGTGTTGTAAATGGCAATTTCATAGATAGGTCTTTAAACATATATTTTTTTCCTCCACCCACCTTTCTCACTTCCCCACCCCGTACACAAGATCTCCGCATGAGCAACTACAAGAAATTAATGGTGGTAAAACTCATAAATTATACAGAGTAGTTTCCCTTGAACCAATAGGAAAAAGGTTCTTCAACCTCATCACAAAAATTTGCCGCAAGCACTATGCACCTCAAGGATGAATGCAAGCCTTGAAAAGCACCAAGATGCAGACTCAAGCCCTGATCTGCAGAAATCTATTCAACCTATGAGGGAACTTTGTAATGTCAAATAAAACACTAAATTCCTAACTTGCCACCTACTTCTTTTTTGTAATATATTTTTTCCGGCTCAAAAAACCTATATGATACTTTTACATGTTATTGAGGTAACATGAATGGTTTCTACAATGCATTGCATGTACATGTTTCAGTTTTGTTTTCTGGTTTATTACATCAGGTATGCTTAGTAAACGATAGGAAAACCTATAATCATTCAGATGTATCAAAGATGTAACTATAAGATAATGTGTTGCTGTTTAAAGCTGAGGGTCGAGCACCAAAATTTTACGCATGGCACCAATTGAAAATTCTTATTTGATCCTACATCAGATCTCCTTGGCTATAGTAGAAGTAGCTACAGGGATAGCAAAAGGAAAATACTACAGTGAATAGCATAAAAGTAACATAGAACAATTAGCTCTTTGCAACCCCTTCAGATTCCAACCCCTTCTGAAGAGAGGCGCCTTGGACTCATAGCACCAAACTTCCAAATATAAATGTATTCTAAAGTATATACAAAGCATAAACCGATGACAATATTCAAAGAATATACTTACCCACCCATTTCAGTGGCCTCTTCCTTATGATAAATAAGTTTTGAGGGGTCAGCACCTCTTAAATGACAGCGTTTCGACTGCAAAACACAACAAACAGAATCGTTATAACATGATAAGATTAAATAAAATAAGATGCTTGTTGGAGGCATGAAGAAAATGCATTCAGCTAGTATCCTAGTGAACAAACAAGTCAAGGCTTCCTAGAAAAGCCTACAAGTAATCACAGGCTGAATTTTGCTACATCAACTGATAGGGTTGGCATCAAGATTACTCTCAAAAAACTGTGCTTCTTAAGCACAAAGCTGCACATTGACCTTTCAAGGCCTATCTATACTATATTTCCCAACAACATCGAAAAGTTGTTCGCAATGCAAGTACAATGCAATGGTACATGTTAAGAGTACAAAATATAACGCTCAACACTCACGACAACTTCGAAGTTTTGGTTTAGTGGCAGGGACCTTAAAGAGTACATTTACCTATTTTCACAAGAAAAGTGTAGAGATACTTCCCCAAAAAATCAAGGTAAGAAAATATCAACACATCAGCATCGGTTGCATATAATCAAGACCAGGCTATACTAAGACACCAATTGTTGGATTCCCCCCATTGCATTTAATACCTTCCCTAATTTTAGATCTGCATGGTTACAAAAATCTCATGGTGCAAAAAAGATTTCAACCCAAGAAAAATTAAATCATACCATCAACATTATGGGCAATTGACCAAAGCTGAGCCTATGCCTAATTGAGGGCCCATCATTGTACTGGAAAAATACTTCGACTGAGAAATCTCCTTTGTACGTTGTTCTTGCTTCTCTGCACTGCTTCCATTTCAAGCAATAAAAAAGTAAATGTTAAAAATCGAAAAAAATGATACAACCATCTAAAATTATTAAAAATATAATGACAAATTCAAACACCTCTTGCGGATAAATGTTTCTATTGGCCGAAGCATCCCTTGGAGGCAACAACCGCGGCTCACCAAAATATAGTATTCTTACGTCAAGGAAAATAACATTAAGGGTAAATCACTCCCTTTAAAAGCACGAGTTCGGAAAATCTTTTTTAGACAAATATACCCCTTTATAGTTTGAACTACCTTATCTATAATCAAATTCTAATTTTCAATGGTCAATATTACCCTTCACTATTTTGAATATTTTATTTATATCTTAATCTATCCTAATCATAATCATATCTTATCCTAATCCTATGTGAACCATGTTTAGCTTAACAATTTAAAAAAACTAATATTAATAAAATATATAAAACATAAAAATGATATTAGTTTGTTAAGATAAAGAAATTACAAGTAGATAACATATTATAATATATGAATTATTGCAAAAAAACCATAAAAAGTTTTAAAATTGCAGAAAAGACCCTAAAAAGTTCAAAATTATAAAACTCATCCAAATGTCTCAAAACTTAAAATAAAAAACATGAAATTAAAAAATTAACATCTGTTTGCAAAGAATTTAAAATTTACAGTTAACACCTCAATGTCTTAAAAATTATAGAAACACCCTCAAAAGTTTAAATTACAGACAAGCACATTAAAATTCTAAAATTTTAAAACTTACAAACAACACAGATGAATTCAAGAGATTACCATGATACACCTAAAATTTTTAACATTTAAATTTAAATTTTTTAATTAACACCCTCAATATCTCAAAAATTATAAAAACACCTTCAAAAGTTCAAATTATAAAAATCCACCCTAAAATTCTAAAATTTATAAATAAAATAAGATGAATTCAAGATATTACCCTTAGACACCTAAAAAATTAAAATTTGCCAAAATTAACCTCAAAATTTTTAAAAAACTCTTTTAAAATTTAAAAATCGTAAAAAAATTTCAAAAATTTTAACTAGCACGCATCAAATTCGTCGATTGGTAGACCGCTAAAATTTAATATTTTTTCAAAATTAATCTATAGTTTTAATAATTATAAAAGACACCCTCAAAATTTTAGAGTTACAAGAAATATACTAACATTTAAAAAATTACCACAAACACATGAAACATAGAATTTACAACTACCAAACTTAAAAGTAAATTTTTTTAAAAACTCTTTCAAATTTTTAAAAATTATAAATCACATCCTCAAAGTTTAAAACCACCAAAATGGGCTAAAATTTTAAAACTTGGCAAAGAAAAGTGTAATTGTTTGGTATTTTTCATATATATATATATTAAAATTTCTAATTTAGGGATTTACTATCCATTTTCAGCATCTAAGAATAGTCTAAGTTGATACTGGTAAACAAAAACAATAAGAATTGATTAAAAACATCCGGTTAATGGATAAAATTTTTAAAAATATTATAGATTAAAAATTATCGGCACTATATAAATTAAAGTAATTTCATATAATTTTAGTAATAAGTTGGGGTAGCCAAAATACATTCGTAACATTAATTGATAGATGTTTAAATCCATAGAAATGATAAAACACTATAATATTATACCTTAGCATTAATTGATTTTAATTTAGAAACTTTAATCTTTGACGTTAATAATATTTATAGGGTAAAAGAATACAAGGAATTACATATGGAGAAACTATTAGAATATTTAGAGATAACTTTAAAAGAATTGAGTTATTTCCATTGCAAATGGGAAAGTGATGGAAATAAATCTAAAATTCAGAAAACGTCAATGAATCACTTGAATTGGCATTAACATAAGACATATCTATTAATGAAGCACTGAATGAGTTACATTAAAAAATAATTTAATAACTTTATCCTAATCAAAGAAAAAATCTCCATGGAAGACATAAGAAAAATTAGTAAGTATTCATAAATTCCATACTGTGTTCTTCAAATTAAATATTAATATTATAATCTAAGATAAATTGGTAATGGATAATGCAGATATTTAGTTTAGATCTTTATGAAAAATGACAGAGATAGAGCAAAGATAATATTATTAAAATAACAGAAATTCTTATTGGATGCACATCAGAAGAATTCATTTTAGAGGAAAATAAAGAGATAGCTTCTAATTTATTTAAGTAATAAATTAGGAACACAAAGAATTTTATATATATGAAATTAATATTTATTCTCATTGAAATAGAAAAAAAATCAAAGTCTATATTTTGAGCAGTTTGTGTTGAACATCATAAGTACATTTGACTTCTTTGTAAAGTTAAATGAGATGATAAAAAATTAACGAGCCTAGGAAAGATAATAGCATAAAAAATACAAAATTAGCCTGATGTCACAATTGATGTAGATGATGAAGACAATACTCTAGAATTGTCCGAGAAATGATAAATGATAAACCTGAAGAAGGATTGATCTTAACTCAATAAAAAATAAAATAGAAGAAATAAAAACAATATTTTATGAATATTTTATAGAATAGTTTAATTATTTTGAGTGAAATTAGGAATCTTTAGAAGGGAGTTTCATGAATTTTTTTCAGTACTTTTATATTCTTATGTGGATGTTTTTATCATATAAAAGTATACTAGAGTTAGCATTAATCTTTAATTTATATTTTTTTATGAAGTCTATCAATGATTAGGAATAAACTTCATATTCTCTTTTGCATCGTTTTAACATACTTTAAATCAATCATTTTGCCATATTGGTTTTAAATATTCACCTTCCTTGTATAACACTATTTTAATATTTTTCACTTTGCAATGCTATACTTTCTCAAATAAAGCTTAGTTTCATATCGGTCAAAAATAATATGAAAATTTAAATTATTTTTAAATTATATTTGTTTTTTGTCAATTCAAATATCAACATGAAAATTTAAATTGGGTGTATCCCATTTAAACAAATATAAAAAAATAATCAGGATGTAAGAGTTTAAAGAAAAAAATGAGCACAAACTGTCAAAAATACTTAATCATGGTATTAAATCACGTGCATTGCACGTGTGTAAAAACTAGTTACTAAAAATACACCAATGATTTCAAAAGTGACACTTTATCCCCCGCTCTCTATTCATTTTAATAAAATTAACTTGGATGTAGAGGCTAATATCATAGGATACCGCAACTCTCCCATGTGAACATATATATAACTGCTATATTCAAAATTGACTACTACATCCAAAAATGGATGATTACTTGATTAGAAATGGAAAATGAGGAGGTTTGAAGTGCAATTTTCAGAACATTAGGGAGATCTTTGTATTTTACCCTAACAATGACAATGGTCCCGCAAAAAAGAAACTTAATTTCGCAAAATAAATATATATATAAATTAAAAAATGATATTTCTGAGCTTAATATTGGTAGATACAAAAGCCAATATCATAGGATACGACAATTATGCAAAGCTCAAAGGACTATTCTATCATTTACTCTAACAATAACAATGATAATCGCACAAAACAACTACTTTAGGGGAAATACGTAAAGATTAGGGAAGGATATTTCTTAATTTGGTATTGCCATCGGCGATCTCAACAGGCCTAATGGAGGTGAGAGCGAGCTCCATCCCTTTGTCGATGAAGTAGTCGAAGGACTCGATGTGGGGCTTGAAGAGGTGTCGGAGCGAGGAGTAGTCCGGCTTCTTTGATTTGGTCGGCGCCATGGCTGAGTAAAGATCGAAGCTTTGGTTTCGTTTTGAGGAGAGAGAGGGAGAGAAGAAAGGGGAAAATAAAAAGAGGAGCTTTGTATCTGAATATGAGGTAGTTGGAAAAACCCTAGAGGGTTTTAGGGGGGTTGTTTGTTTCAATTTGTTTTTATAGAATAGGAATAAGAATTTGATTTGACAAGGCTAATACTGTAAATAAAGGATTCTAATGGTATCTTATTCCTAAGTTTGGTTTATAATATTTTTATAGATTTGGATATCTGTAAAGTTGGAAAAGAAGTGGGTTTTTATAGAAACCCAAATCAGATGGGTTTGGGTGGATTTGGGTTGAAAAGCTGACAACCTATTATTCTCATTCCCTTTTTTTTCAGACTCTAAACCCTAGATTGGGTTTCGGCCTTCTCCCGCTAATGTCCTCCCGCCTCTTCTCGATCCTGCTCGCACCTCTTCTCGAATCGTTCTTTGATTTCTTTTTCGAAGACGAGCTTTGATTTCGAACTATTGTCGGTTGGTTGCTTCGATTTCTTCTCGAATCGATCTTCAATCCTATTCGAGCCTCAATCTCAAAAGCTTCGATCTTGAGCTTCTTTCTTCGATTACGATCTTTGATTTTGATCTTTGATGCCAAGTTGAGTTGGCTTTGTTACTTTGGTTGGTTGTTGTAGGTTGGTTGCTTCGGTCATGAGCTTCTTTCTCAATTTCGAGGTTTGATCCCAAGCAGTGTCGATTGGTTGCTTTGGTTTGTTACTTCGGTCTCAACCCTGAAGTAGAGCTTTGGCAGTTAAAGGTATAAATCAATAATTCTTTTTTTAATTAATATATGATTACGGATGGTTATTTGTCGTGGTTGATTTTGTAGTGGATGTTTAATAATTTAGAGCTTCGTTGCTTCGGTTGTCTGTCATAGTTGATCATGGATGGTTATAAATTAGGAGGTTTATCTGTTTTTTTGCTAGGGTTTTTGTTAGTACACCCTAACATCGTGAAATTGATGAATAATGTAGACTACATTTGTTGTTGTAGTCATGGTATATCGTTCTGTTTAGTAAAAAATAAGAATACTAAAATGTTTTTCCCTATGTATGTTGACTTTCTATATTCAAGTGGATAGCCATAATATATTGCTTAACTTACTAGTTTATGCCTGCTAAAATTCTTTACGAAATATATTGTGAATTAGTTATTTAATATATGAATTAGTAATTTTGTTCTAAGATTTCAATATATGAATTAGTTGTTTCTTTACGAAAATAGATTTGTGGATATTTAGTAATTTCATTTTTAAGTCCTAAATGTATACTAATTTTACAATGTATGTAGATGGATAACGTAGATGAAGGACAATTAAAGAGGATGTGTGTTAATATAACTGTTTCTTCTGTGGTCACGATAATAACTTGTCTTCTGAGAATGGGTGCTAAGCGCAAGACAATTTCTATTTGTACGAGGGAAGAAAAGATCAAAAATATATATATTGCAAAGGAGCTCACTTCAAACGCGTATTGGAAGACAATTTCTATTTGTTTTTGTTGGTTTCGATTGATGGAGCTTGTGATGCTCACTCTTTGTTTTATTAGTTTCGATTGATAAATTGCTAGAGCTTGGGTTGCTCTCATTTGGTTTTCTTGGTTTCAGTTTATTACATGTCGGAGCTTGTGATGCTCAATAGTTGATATTTGACAATGATGATTATCTTTTACTGAGAATGCAATCTAACTTATAACATTTATTATGTTTTAATGAGGCAATCTGTGATGAGATTGTAACCTATATTAAATTGACAATGTCTAGGTGAGGCAATCCATCATTAGAATGTAATTTACAATAAACCTGTAAGTTATAGGTGGGGCATTCAAATTCGACAAAATGACTTATTCCTGAGCCGTACAATATCAACTAGATTTTTAATGATAGTTTACTCGATTCCAATAAAATTTTTTATTACAATATCAATAGTTTTTGCAAGTACAAGTACATGCATGCGGCTTACAATAATTAAAATAATACAAAATATCACTACTAAAATTACTGAAATTTTCCAAGCTAGTAGGTGCTTTTGACAAGTTTCAATTCTTTCTTCAGCCTCTTTGATTTCAAAAAATACTTATCTCCGAGCCTATTTTCTTTAATAAATTGGTTTTCTTGGTTGCTTATTTCTCCTCCTTCATGAGCGCATTCAAAAAAATTACATTCTTTATTTGTGTATTTTTCACACCCCTAATAATACATCCCCTTATTTTTACTATTTTTGCACACTTTCATGGGTGTTTGGAGATTGCAATCGCACCAAACTTCAAAAATTTTAGGGCATTCTTTTAATATCATATTGATGGAGGAGATGAAACTTGCAAACTACGAGAATTTTAAAAAATGGTAAGAATGAGGGATACATTGGCACCATGAGCCCTCAATCCACATTTATAACCTCCAAGGCCTTGGAACTAGTCGCTTCTATAGTTTTTTTTTAATTATTGGTAAACGGGTAAGATTACCCTAACTTCTTACTTGATATTTTGTCCACTAGTGAGTGGTAAGATTACCTACAATGTTTTCACCATTTATCCCAAAAAATTCTCATCTAAACCAAACTAAAGAATAGGAATTGAATGGCTTCTATAAAGTTGGATTTTATATTTTCATGTTATAAAACAAACATAGAAAGGTAAAAAAATAGAAATTCATAACATTCCATGACATCAAAAATTTATCCTTAATTTTTTATAGATTAGGAAGGAATCAATAAAAATATCATTTTTCTAATCTTTTTCTTGTTCACTATTGAACCAAAACATCCCCTTGCGTTGTTGCTGAAGGGGGTTTTGCCGGTTGGCATTTGGGTCGAAACTCGGGCCAGGTCGGGTCAGATTTTGGAGGGTTTAAATTGAGCATAAATTTCACAAAACCCCTTAACTTTTGGGGTTTCCCACAAGATTCACAAAACCTTTTCTTTCCCGCTCACCTCTTGAACTTTGCGGCATCTCACAAACCAAATACCACACCCCCCTCAAACTTCCACATCCCAACATCTCGTTTGGTAAGCAGGAATCAAATCAGGTGAGACTGGAATGAGAAAAATAATGGAATATAATAAATGTGAGAATGGAATGCTTATTCTCAATATCATGTTTGAATGTGATTACAAGATGAAGTAGGAATGCAAAGATTGGTACGAGCAAAAAAGAACCAATTAAGAATATTGGTAGTTATTCAAATTCTTTTGTTCCCACTTAAGTGAGTATGGCCATCCCCTACCAACACATTGAAAATGCTTATTCCCGTATAAAATGGTAATCGATGAGAAGTGGGAAGTGGGAATGACCATTCTAACTTTAAAAAACATGTTGTGCCTGGTATGCTCGCCTCTTAAATTATCTTCATAATTAAGATAAAGATTAGATGATATTATGAAATATTCTCGCCTCTTAAATTATCTTCATAATTAAGGAGACAAATATCAATTATGTGTGGATGGTCAAGCTAGAAATATCCAAAATTCATAGAATTTACACAACTTGTGTAAATACTAAAAAAGAAACATAATTTGAAGATTTTACAAGAAAAATCAACTTGAAAATCAGTAGAAATATCTGAAAGACTCTCAGAAATTGTATATTTTAGACCGAAACCTAAAAGACTTCTAAATATTACAAATTTTAGAGAAAAATTCTAGATCTATAGAATAATCATAGATTTTACTGAATTTGGACCAAAATCTAAAAGAGTTTCATACATGTCAAATTGTCCTACTTAATAGAAATATCTTTAACATGATTATATTGTGATCATGGTCTAATTAATTGATACATCTTTAATAAGAAACAAGTTATAGATAATTTTCCAATCTCCATGTTCTTTATATACAAAAGAAAGCGTATGAAGATTTATAATTTCAATAATCTAAAGATTTAAATTTAGTACCTAACAAGTAAAATAGAACTTTTTTTTATCTTATTGTTCATTTATATTTAAATAAAAAAATAAAGATAAAGATAATTGGCTAATATCATGAAATATTATCACATCCTAAATTATCTTCATAATTAAGGAGAGAAATATTAATTATGGCTGATTAACCAAGCTAGAAAATATCCAAAATCCAAAGAACACCTAACTCGTAGAAATACCCAACGAACTTCTGTAATTTGAATACATTTATGAAAAAACTTACAAAATTAGTAGATATATCCAAAAGAATTTCAAAAATTATATATTTTGCAAAAAAATTCACAAAACTTATAAAAAACTAAAAAGTTTCAAAATATTAAAAAATTTATTTAAAAAAAATCCTAGGATCCAGAATTACAAACATTTTAAATTTTTACAGAAAAGCTCCTAATTTAATAAAGCACTCAAAATTTACAAAATTTACACTGAAGGATAACCTTGAAACTTACAAAGATTTCTAAAATTTGATTGATTTCGTTCCGATATATTATCGAGATTTACAAAATTTACACTGAAGGATAACCTTGAAATTTACAAATTATTTGAGATGAGTGATGAGATAGTTAGTTACTGAAGGATAACCTCGATTCTTGGCTAAGTATGATTTAAATCATAGAAAAAGAGAAAAAAAAATTGTGTATATTTCTTCTCAATCTAATACGTCGCGGGCTTGTTCACGTTCCGATTCCCTGTATTTTGGGAAGCGGGGCGTGACAGGTTTTTTTGGTGGCCCATGCAGGTCACGGTCCCGAGTCCTCACTAGTAAGAATATAATGGACAATTTAGATACATATCATATTTCATCCATGAGACTATCTTGAGCCCTTATCCTATTTTCTTAATAGATTTCGTTCCGTCCCTGCCTTATCACTTTTTGAATCCGAAATTTCCCACTGATTCTTGTCTCGTAACTTTCCATTGTTCCTTGTTTCTTGCCTCATCTGCTTATGGATTTTGTTCCATATCTGTCCTTAGGTTCTTTCTTATTTTAATTCCGAGGGCGGAATTTGTTTTAAGGGGGGTAGAATGTAAGGACCATGAATTTTTGATACTAGTTAAAATTATTTTCTGATAGTTTAAAATATTTAATTATTATTTTTAAAAGAGTATTTGTATTTTTCTTGATTTTCTACAATTTTCTATGATTTAAAAATCTGATTATATATTTATTTAAATG